TTATTATGATGCTGATGATTCCAAAGCAGTATTTGTTCATTTGTTCCTAACTGCCCGTATGCATGCATACATACATACATACTGATCATTTTTAATATATCACAGCTGCAGAGCTGAACGTTGAAGGCTATGGATATAAAAGTGAAGTAAATTAATCTTTATGTAGAATTCTTTAATGTTACACATACTGTATAAATAAAATGTACATTTTCTATTTATGGTACATAATATAAATCATCGGTTCAACAGTAGAAAAACATTTACCAATGGCTTATATTTCATTGAAAATTATTATATCTACTTACTAAAAAACTTATTTAGACATTAATGAAAATAAGAACATTTCCAGCATGTTTTGATATCACAAACACGGCTGCCATTTACTAGACAGGTTTCATTTTTGAGTAGAGCAAAAAAGGTGGGGGGGATACTTTTTCTTTTTCTGTAATAATCTCTTCCACATTGCATAACAGTCAATATTATATGCAACTTATAAATTTAAAGACAGCAGCCCTCTCTTACACAGGTTCAAGGTTTTATGTAGAACCCATTTAGTTTTCGATAAGCTACTTCAGCTTTTGTAAAGAAGGATATAAGTTAATTACTATTTATGTATTTTTCTGCTGCATTTTGAAAAAATGATTAAAATTTGGGATCTTCTTTTTGCAGAACAGCATGCGGAGTATTTTCAGCTCGTTAATATAGACATAATATGCAATTTTATTTGAAAACATTTTTTTTTTTATGCAATATACCCATATTTTTTATCGGTTGATTATCTAGCTCAATAATGATATGTTCCTTTAAATTTCTGCCAGAATAATTAGTGTAAGTTCGGTGGTATCTCAAACTTTTAAGGTTCAGTGAGATTTCATGTAAAATATTGTAACTTTTGTATTTTTAAAGGTTATGAAATTCATCTATTTTTACGTCTAAAATGCTTCCCCCCCCCCAATTTTTTTTTCAGCAGATGTAGCAATTAGATATTCAAGTTGCTAACAAATAAAATGACTAAACATTTTAAACCAGAAATTTCTTTTTCCATTCATCTGACATTCTACCATGAACTACACTTTAAATGTTCAACTAGCTTGAATTTTCACTTAGCGAGTATACAGCATTCCCTGAACTTTCCAGATAATCAAGCTTTTACTACAGTTGGACATGTTCTTCACTTTAGGAATAATAGGTAATTCTAAATTGTGAGAGAAAAGAAAAAAAAGACGCTGAACTGCTGAATTGCTGTTATTAGAGCAAAGAATAGACTAGAACTATATTAGATTAGGAGATAAAATATTTTGTCCTTATTTCTTAACATGTTCTTCGTGCTACCTTTAATAAGTATGAAAATGAATACCAATACAATAAAATTTCATATTTCTGTGCATAAGCAAGTCTTAGAAAAAGAGCACATACAATAAATATTTAATTTAATCATATACACTGATAATACAGCTGTAAAAATCAGCTAGAATTAATTCAATATACATTTAAACAAAATTAACATCCAAAAATATATAGAGATTCCTTGATATACATTTTATATAAAATTTATCACAGCTTAATTTACAGAAACTGATAATATACTTCAATCATGAAGGAAGAATATAGGCACATTCAATAACTTATTTACTAACCTAAAAATATAAATAACATTTAAAAGTAAAAAATAATTAATAAAAAATATATCATTTGTGTAACCATTTCTTATAGTGAATACCAATAAGAATTTTTTAAGTATGTTGAAGAACACCTCTCTTATCTTTACTGAAACGGTTAGCAGATCTTTTATATTAATTGTATAAAGAAATATTTGATGCAAAATGTCATGAAGAAATACAAAAAATTTACTTTTAAAATGATTCATTTTGTTGAATGCATTTCTATAACATGGAAGACACATGAAAGATTTTGGGTCTTGTTGATTCGAAATAAATTCAAATCTTTATTTATGTGAGCAGAAACTGTTATATAAAAAAATAAATAAATAAATGCCTTCAAAAATTCAGGAAAAAATTTAAAACTATTACGGAAACATATCTGAACTGCTACTTTTGCATCTGGATAAGTATGGAATGCCAGCAAGAGATTGCTGCATCACTAAAAGATTTAAGGTTATGTTAAGTTAAATTGTTCAGATATGGCAATGTACACAAAGCAGTCTGTCAAAGGGAAATCTTTGTGGAGCATTTTCGACGGGAAACTGCCTTCTCTAAATATTACACATGGGAAAAGCCATCCATACTTCCAGCTTGTTTGCCTGGGATCAGACTTCCAGTATTCAGCAAGTCTTAACGTCTTAACTACCGTATTTGACGGCATATAAGACGCACCCTTATTTAAAAGGCCACACACATGTAGATGTAGAAAAAGTTATGTGTGTCTAGACCTAAAAATATAATACTGAATGCTATTTTTAGCTTTATCCAGGCTAAAAATAGCATTCAGTATTGAAAGTTAACCTGTGTCCTTCACGTATAAGGCGTAGGTAACTTTTTTTTAGACCAAATTTAGGGAAAAAAGTGCGTCTTATATGCCGTCAAATACGGTACTTGTCCACAGGTGAAGCCATAACAGATTTAAGAAAACTATTATTCAAAACTAGCACAGTGTCATTTTCACGTCTATGAATATTAGAATGAATAAATTATCTCTTTCATTACTATGAATAATATACTGCATTAGTGAAAAAGCTGAAAATAAGAAAACTTTGATATGAAGATATATAATATCTGTTTGAAAACAGATATTATATAGCTTCAATAATCAACAGAAATGGCATAAATATATAACTATGACATTTTAATCTACATGAAAATAAAAATTTTCTTGATTAATAGCTAGATTTGGAGGGAGAAAAACAAGATCTCGCAAACAACAGTTTTAAAAAATAGAAAAACTCAATGAATTCAAAAATCTGTTGTAAAACACTGATGAAGTGCATCACAGTGGAAATCTTGATTTAATATAGTAATTGCCAAAGGTACAGAATAAATATTTACTTAATTTTCAAACCTGCATTTGTAATATGGCATGTAAATGGGCAGAAATAAGTAATATAAATAAGATGGAAAATTAAGACTATGACATACAGCTCTTCAGTACGTAAATTTCTACCTAATGATAAACATGTATACATTCAATAACAATTAAATACATACTGTACCCAAAAAAAGTCCTTATGTGTAACCATGTTTAAAGACACATACTTCCATTTATAAAAATGCTTTAAATTATGCAAAATATTCATGTTTCGATACTTTCAAATTTAAAGAGTTGTGAAATCTCAGATTTTATACAAACACTACAGCTCCTAAACACTGCAGTTATATTTTCGTAAATGTTTATATACATGCTGAAAAATAAAATGAAAAAATTCTGACTCTCATATAACAAAAATTGATCAAGATATTTAATTTTGATATTTTAGTTGTGGCTTTCTGAAAATTCACACAAAGTAAAATATTATATAAATTTATGTATACTAAAAATGTTATCAGTTTAGTAAAAGGTTCTGAAGTTGATGGATTAACTGATGAGTACTTCTATGCAAATTGGCATATAAAATATTACTCAAAATAATATTTTTCAAAAATGAGATCTTATTCAGAGTCTTACAGTAGAACTTGTGTACTAGAAAACATTGGCAGGCTTCAGTATTGGCATAGGACCAAACTGTAAAATTATTTGCGTTGATTAAAAATAGAAAATATTTTTAGTTTAATGAATTTTTTGCATGGCTGCTAGATCACAGTTCTAAAGTAATAAAACTTCATGAGAATATTATCAACATATTTTCATTGTTGGAAAACTTACAAATTATTTAAATGAAAATTGTTTCAGACAGCAGTTGCAACAAAATAATAAACTGAAGAATTTTTCACACTTATAAACCATACAAAATATCACTTGGTTGACATTAACCCTTTAACTGTCAAGTTATTTTGATGATTTGGGTACAAAATTGTCAAATTTTTTTATTGGAAAAATCAAATGTAGTCGAAATAAACATCTCCTGATATATATTCGGGTATGACAATACGATGCACTCAAAAAAAAAAAAAAAAAAAATTACCCCGAGAAATACTCGGGCGTGACATTTTCGAACACCAGTGCTGTGCCCGAGATAATCTCGGGCATGACAGTTAAAAGGTTAATGAAGAAAAATCAATCTCTAAAATCATTCCAGTTTATTTTTAACCCATTCTCAAGGAAAGGCAAAAATGACATGAAAATTTTCAAAGTTTGAAATTAAAAATGTCTGTCAGTTTTGGTCATATGGAAGTCAAACTTTGTATTTTATTTTTTATGATGAGTATAAATTTTCCTAATAGGGACCAGGAGACTATATAAAGAACTACATTTTAAAAAATTTTTACATTTATTATTATTGTAATTTAAAAATGCCAAAACATAGATATCACCATGATTAAAACATTTCTGTAACTGCAAGTATATGTCTACACCAATAGTTGCAAAAATACAGGTTGTGTAAGAACTTTTGTGGACACAGTGCATGTAGATAACATGATTTAAAAGATCATACATAATTTAGGACTAAATTAATTGATTTAATTATTACTCATGAACAGGAAATGAACTCATTTTTGATTTCAGAACTTTATTACAGCTTTTTAAACTTACTGCTAAAAATAGATTGTGTATTATTAAGTTTAATAGAATAAAATTTGTTATTTGCAAATATGAAATATTAAAAGCATAAGAGAATCACATATAGTTAAAATAAAATTAAAACCTATAATTGTCTGGACCAGGTTCAGAAATTTATGCATGTATGTGTTCATATTTACATGCATATATGTAAGTACTAAATGTATGCATTTGTAATATACATATATGCATATACATACATACACATGTTCATACATTTCTGAATTCTGGTCCTAATAACATAACAGTACCTAATACAGTAAAACCCCCATAAACGTGAATCACAAAGGACAAAATAAATCGAGAGTTCATGCAAAAAAAAATTTCTATTAACTAGTGAATCAAATTTTATTTTTGGAATAGTATTTTCTATGTATTAACTATTTACAGTATATAGGTACATACAGTATATTATACATATCGGCATGGAAAATGCTACAATACTACATGAATTACAGTACCAAAACTTGAAAAAATGTGCTCACAGAATTTTTTTTTTTTGGGGGGGGGGGTTAAAAAAACTCTTGTATATTGCACTGTCACAGACAATAAAAAACATCTTTTAAATGTGCCAGTAACTTCATGGCCAACTGTACTCATGGCTTCCATAAAGCTAATGGTCAATTCAGATGTTTCAGCAAAATGTTCTACAGTATCCAAGGTGTGTAACATTTTCTAGCCAGGTTGGCAGAATGACATTGTTGACTCACTTTCTTTAGATGACATTTCTTGCACTTCAGACATGACTGCTTGTACATTACATTCCAATACCACACATAAAATAACAGTGTCATCTGCACTCTGCAAACTCCTCAAAACTAATGCCAGGGTTTGCAACATCTTACAGACTATTCCATTCATTAGGTAAAGTGGTATCATTGTCATCGTCTAGCTCCTTAACAAGATTTTAGCGTTTTTATGTCTCCATACTCTGCAAAAGCAGTTCTGTATGCATTGGATTTCTAGAATAGAGCAATGCCTTTTATTGCACCAAGCACACTCCAAGTCAGCATTCCTTTCTCCTTTTCAACAGCACAAATTTCAGCTTAAGACTTTTTCATAAGAGCAATAACGCTATGATCCAAAGGCTGAAGATAACTTACTGCATTGGGGAGAGAGTGAACCTTTACATTAACTAAGTTGAAAATTTTTGAAAGCTCATGTTAAATAAAAAAATTCATGATGCAACAAACTTAAAAAAAAAAAAAAAAAAACTGTTTGCAATTTACAATAACTGATAAAATTTCCTATACAATCACGTACATCCTGGCCAGGACCAAAATTTTATTCATGTTAACCGAGTGCTCACTTTAAGCAAATTCATATTAAAGGGGGTTACTGTAATACAACATTAACAATACAAAAAAACATAAACAATTAAATAACATCAAATAATATTCAACATTAACATCCAGACGAGTTCATTACTTCATATTAAATCATAACAATTTATGATAGGGATACTGAGATTCTATAAGCACTATATACAGATCTCCATTGTGAAATAGAAGCAGTTGGAAACAGCAGACTCTAACTTAATTCAGAAGAAGAGTTGCCTCATACAATAGCACAAACTAAGTATAATAATAATAACTACAGCAAAATTTAAGTATGCTAAAACCTGCAGCTAATAAAGGGTTGAATACAAACAAGTAAATAAACTATGGGTATGATAACTAATCACATTTATATTTTTAAATAGTAATAGCATTTTTGAACTCTATATAGATCTTCATACATAATTAAACAAGTTATTGTATTTTTACATTCCTTACAGATTTTCATATGTAAATTACACATGTATACCTACACGTCCGTGTACTAATAATTTTCTTTATTTTAATCAATTGTCATTACCTTGTAATTATTCTAGATATAAACACCATAAGAAAATTTCTTTCACTGAAAATCATTAATTAATTCATAGCTTTTGTAAAGTTTACGAAATTCATTCCAAAACATTAATGAAAGTACTGTATGTGGGCCTGTACGTAAAAAAGATGCTGTACTGCCTTTATAGAACCCAAAAAATCCTTCTGAAGACATTATCTTTTTAATGCAATCCCATAAACCAGAATAAATGAGGCCTTTCCCACGGCTATCTACACCTTGATTGTACACACGTGTTGAAACTACATCTAATGGAGTCATACAGACAACTACTGCTACTCCACCCAGCATACTGGCAGCAAGAGCACTTAACCAACTATCAGGCTTGAATATCTGCAAATAAAAAATATTGAAATTTTAAGATCTATAACTTAAAAGTAGAAGGCTGCTTTTACATTATTATGCATTATTTAGATTATTCGTACTAGAAATTTGATAAATTAAAATAAATATTAAGATGTGGTATTCAAACTTTTCTTGGTATATAAATTTTTTTATTATTCAATTCCTTTAAGTCTGGTTTACCAGAATTTCATTGTATATATGTCATCATTAAAAAGCAGCAATCAATTATTCTGCAGATTAGCTAGCTAATCTTAATCATAATTAGATTATCTAACTATCATCTAATAATTAGATTATCTAGCCAATCTAGCTCTAATTGATAACTTTTGAACCATTGGCGGGATTCAGTTGAAACTTGGCTGTTGAATGCAGGGCACATTGGGAATTCGTTAGAGCATATGCACTCATACTGTTGTTGATCATTTTTTTGTTTAACATGTCAAAATGCAGCATTTCTGAGCATATATTAATCGTCAAGCTACTGTTTGAGCAATAAGGAAATTTCTGACCGAATACAAGCTGAAGACAACCAGTCCAAGTGTTATATAAATAAAAAATCTGATTAAAAATTTCAAGAGAACAGTTAATGTCTGTGATGCCAATGTTGGTCATTGAGCAAGTGTGGAAATCCTTGAAAATAATGAGAAAACATGAATTGTGTTTCAAAATGGTTCAAAAACGTCAATCAGAAGCTCTAACAAATTGAAATCAACCAAGAGACTTTGCAACAAATTTTTATTCAAGACCTGCAGCTCTTTACGTACAAAATTTAAGCTAATCAGCCATTGAATGCCACTGCCACTGAACAGCATCTGTGTTTTTCCAATACTATAAGCAATATGATTGACAAACAATAACTTGATGCGAGTATGGTTTGGCTTAACAATGTAGCCCACTTTCATTTGGATTGGATCAATAAGCAAAATTGCTACATTTGAGGGAATGAAAATCCCCATTTCATGACTGAGAAGTTTCTTCACCTGAAACTGGTAACCATTTGGTGCGCAATGTCAGACTGTGGAATAGTTAGTATGGTATTCATTGTCACTGTGTGATATTCATTGTGACTGTTGAACATGATATCAAAATTTTAGAAAACGACATCACCCCTCTTATCGCAGGTGAGCCAGATTTTGAAAAGATGTGATCCATGCAGGATGGAGTATGACTCTAATGGCCCAACAGAGTGTTTGAAGTCTTGAAAGAGCACTCTGGAGAGCACATTCTGGCTTTGGGTTACCCAGAGACCACTGGAATAGGAATCGCTTGGCTGCTATATTCTCCTAATCTCAATCCTTGTGACTCATTTTTGTGTGCCAATGTTAAAGACAAAGTTTACGCAAATAACCCTGAAACTATTCCTGAGCTTATAAAAGGGGCATTCATGAGGTCATCGAAAGCATCAATGTCTCACCACTTCAGCGAGTTTTGCAGAATTTTGCTCTTCATCTGTGCCACATTATAAGCATTGATGGCAAGCATATAGAACATGTCATAAACTAAATTCAAATATCTGTAGTTACATTGCAAATCTGAATAATTTTTTTTAACTCGGTAGTTTTTGAAAATTTGATTTTTTTATTTCATATATGTTTTTTAAATTTCATTGTCTCCCAATACGATTGTCAACTTCAAGTAAAAATTCTCACACAGTATTAAAAATATCTATAAAATCCTGCAAACTTATAATAATATAAACTTATAATTGGTAAGCAAGCATACTTCCATGTGAAAAAGCAAACTGTGTTTCACTGTTTTACTTTTTTTATATTGCCCATATTACATAAAAAATTTATATATTAAAATATATTGATTTTAAAACATATTAAATCATTTTTGTGCATTTTTCCTATATATCTATTTTGTATAATTTCTTCATTATTACATGATGTAGGTATACGTCAATAAATAACTGATTTTCAATTTTATTAATAAATCTCTTAGTGAATTATGGGATCTTGATCATGCAAAAGCATCCTTGATCATCATCAACCCACTTTAAAATTTTATCAAACCCCTAGGGGTAAATATCTGCCCCACTGGAAACCCTTGATATATATTTTATCGTGATATAAAAAAAATAAATTCGCACAGATCCAGTTTCACTTTCAGTTTAGTTGTGCTCTAGGCCCCACTTAATATAATCCCATTTGTTCATGTTGTTTTGATACCATTAAATGAGAAAAAATAGATTTCAAAATAGTGATGGAATTTAATTTAATATAAAAATATTGGGTACTACTCTTATACGCACCCTCAGGTTGCCAAATGTGGCGATATGTGTTGTGGGCTGGTTTTTGGCACGATGGCGTGTTGTGCGATAGTTTTGGGGGTGATGTTGGTTTCTATGGCAATCCTTTTTACGTGGAAACTTAATGCAATGAAATACGTGTTGGCAAAATTTTAGTTGTATGCCTAGTACAACTATTTTTTCGGGTGGCTGGAAATTCTACAAGTATTTAGGAGAAGAAGGTTTTGAACATTTATTTGTGAAACATAGTATCAATTTTGTGGATAGTGAGTCTGGCTGGCATATAAATATGATAGAGATTATGTGGTGGCATGTTAAAGCTATGTTGCCTACTTATAATCGGAAATGCGATTTTGCGTTTTATTTGGTGGTTTACAAAATTTTTCCATTGTTGTTCTGAAATGGGAGAAGATGCATTTTAACAATTTAAGTTAAAACATATTGCTGTGTACATGGATTCTTGTCAAATATTTTTGGTTAGAAACTTTACGTTTTTGCAATCTAAATTTTTTGTTTTTGTTTCGGATTTTTAACTTAAATTTTGTGTTCAAAACGTGGTTTTTGGATATGTGAAAATTGCATTTTTGCAAACATTTTAAACTTAAAGTTCGAAATGTAGACAAAAGGCAAGAAATTTGTCGCCAGCTGAGGGCGTATATGAGAGTAGTTCTAAATATTGATCTTCAAGAAACATATAACATATTTACACAGAAATTTAATTAAAAATTACAAAAAAAAATTTTATGAACTGCTCATAATGTCTTTAATGCAAAAGTTCATTTATAGACTGTTCATAACATTTCCAATTATTTGACTAATATTGTATTCCCAATTTTTTAATATTCATAAGGCATCCCTCACTGGAAGAGAACAGACCAAAGTTAAATTTTAAATTATGAAAAAATGCAGCCTTAATGTGTCATTGATGTTCTCTGGAGGAAAAGAAAAAAATTCTGTAATTTTTTTTTGCTTCTGAAGAAGAAAGACTCGTGTAATCATCCTAAAAATTGAAAATTTATTTGAAATTTATATTAAATTGAAGTTCCTTTTTTTTTGTCTAATTTTAAAAGAATAAATGAATTTTCTTCTGACTGAAATCAAAAGCAAGTTGCTTGTCGACATTCCCTATCACATGGTATTTTTTCTAATCTAATTTGATCTTATTTGCCATATTTTATTCTAGAATAATTTGATCATATTAAACAAATTATTGATCATAATAAATGATGTATTTTCCATGTTTTCATATACAAATGGCCACAACTTTGGCAAATCCATAACAATACCTGAATTATAACATTAAGCCAATCACATTATGCAGCACCTACTGTAAATTGAATTGTTTGCTAATAAACAAACAAACAAACGATTTGACACATTTAGGTAAAATGTTACCTCCCTCAAGGATAAGTCAAAAGATACTCAAAACCTCTGAAGTATAAACATAAAAATCTCTCTGACAATCGTGCCATATTATTATAAGTTGATATCAACATGAGATACCACATAAAAAACTACAAAAATGGATCAGTCTGACCCATACAGATTAATAACACCCTTTCCAAAAATGCTAAACTGTTGCACTAAATGACTTTTGAGGAAACTATAGTTTTTATTGATACTTTCTGATTATCTGCTTTCCCACTGCAAAGCCGAGGCAATGCACCACGTTGCCAAAAATTATTTATGTGCAACCCATCAAACTGACAAAAGATATTTCTGTGACACATACGCACATATCTCCCCTGATGGCTTTCCACTTCTCCAGATATTCTCTCTAATGTGATTATAAATTATGATCTTTTATATTGGAATTTCATCACATACTGCAGCTTTCATAGTCTTCTATAATAACTTGGACATAGTTTTCAACAGGCTTACAGCATAATGTGGCTTGCTTAACCCTCTAACTGCTCAATTTGTGGATCGAAATCGCTTCAAAAATTGTGCAATTTTTTTTTTTCTTTTGCATATTTTAAATCTTTATATATTGGAGATTGAAAAGTGCATTTTTTCTTTCTAGAAATTTTTTTTTTTTTTTTTTTTTTTTTTTTTTTTTTTTTTTTTATATATATAGATTTTTTATCATGAGAATTAATTTGCCAGAAAAACCAGTTTTAGATGTTATCACCCCAAAAAAATTTTTTTAATAAATTTCAGTCGAATTACAGTCAATTTCTATTTTATGTATAATATAAAAAAAAGTAAAATATATAAAATTTAAGAAAATATAAAGCACTCAGGAAAAAATACCTTAGAAATGCAGTTTAGTAAGATAGAGTTCAAAACAGGGTTAAAGGCAAAGTCCAACTTCACAGTCTTTGCACCAGATTCAATAAATCTAATTAATAATCAGTCTAACTATTAATCTAATCAATAAATCTAATTAATAATTCAATAATTTAATTAAATAATTAAAATAATAGCTGAATGTTTTCCACCAGCCATTTATGTAAGAAAAAGCGCAAAAAGTGGAGTTTCAGCGGTAATACCACGTGCCTTCAAATGCTGCAATTTAGTGGACAACTAACGATATCTGTTGGCCAAAACATAAACTAAATGTCTAATACTGTATATAATTTATTTCAGTGGTTAAACGGGGAAAAAGCGGGATGTGTTCCTCAATGAAGGAAGAAAAACACATGCCTGCGGAAATCATGGGATGAGCAGATTTTGCTACATTTGAGTTGACTGCAGAAATCGCGGGATGAGCAGCCAGAGGGTTAAAGGCATCATG